TATATATGTATATATATATATGTATATATATGCATATATGCATACACTCCCCATATATATATATATATATATATATATATATATTCTTCCATATATATGGAAGAAAAGGGAAGGAGGAAAATGGTGTAGTTATATTTTAATTAAAATATCTATTTGTTATATATTTATATGTATGTGCACGTGCTCCTGTGAGTTTATGTTTCAGTGCTTACAGGTGCCCACAGAGGGTAGAGGACAGTCATGCTGGTGAGGCTTTATGGGGGTAGCTTCTGCCATCCTAGGAGACAGTCTCACAGCAAACTCCCTGATCCTTAGTTCTTAGATATGTCTTTGCTCATGGACAGAGACAAAGACCCAGTCCTTACTATAGATGTGACACCCGGGTACCTTTGGATCAATGAAACAGAAGAGGAGAATCACCAGGTGGTGCACCCTGAGCCCTTGTCTAACTGAGAAGTCTGTAATGCTTGCTTGCCAACAAATGCATATGCACCGTGCTGTTTTCCTGTATTTTAATTCTTTAACTGATAGAGAAAAAGGACCCATTCTGTATCTGGTATTATCACTGTCATCACATGGAAAATTGTTATGAGTAAAAACTGACAGGAAGGGTTTGGAGGATGACTCAGCCAGTAAAACACCCATTGTGCATGCCTGAGGACCTGAGTTTGGGTCCCCTGCATCCGTGTAAAAAGCTGGTGGAGTAGCATGTGTCTATAACCCAGAGCAGGGGTAGGGAGGTAGGTACATCTCTAGGTCAGCTAGCCTAGCAATTAGTAAGTTCCAGATTCAGTGAGAGTCCCTGTCTTCAAATATAATGTGGACTGTGACTGAAAAAAGATACCCATGTTGACCTCTGGTATCCCTACACACATATGTGTACACAGCCACACAGATAGGAACATATAAAAAGATACAGAAAGACAGACAGGATGCTAAAATCAAAGACAAATAGACAGACAGACAGGATGATAATAATCAACAGTATGCTATTTTATAGAGGAGACAAAAAATCCCCGTAAGCTCAGATACCATAGAAGAGGCTTTCAAGATCGTCCATCGAGCAGTATAAGCAGCTCCCATGAAACAAGACAATTATTCAATGGTCTGGAGATAGACTGGGCCTCTAATACTATCATAATCTCACTTTCCACATTGTCCTCCCTGTGATTTCTCTAAATTCTTTGCATTAGGAGTGGTGGATATGCACAAATGTTCTGGGGATGCTGAGTGAAGAGCTGTAAAAGCCCTGTCTACTTTGATCTCTAGAAACCATGTTGTGAGTATTAGAGGGACAGGCAAATGCCAAGGCTTTAAGGAATGTGAAAGCCATCCTTATTTTTTTCAATTATGGGAACCATTCTCTATGATGTGCCTATCACCCTCTGAATCCAGTTCTGAAGGCAGGGAGCCATGTTGCTGACTAGCTAGCTTTTGGAAGAAAGTCTGGGTCACAGTAGTCTCTCCTTAGAGGTGTCTGGCAGGGAGCCATGTTCTGAATGGAAGGAGTGGCTATGAGGTTTGTAGGCAGGTCACAGGCGGCCAGTACTCCTTAGAAGTAGCCCCTCCGATCACTGATTAGCTTGAGATTAGTAGCTGGCTATCTGGCCATTTGACTGCCACACTATTCTGGGACTGTCTTCTGAGAGTCCTTGCACAATGCGCCTCACTGGACATTGGCCAGGAGTAAGGAAAAGGGCCCTGTTTCTGCAGTTTGGCACTTTTTTGCTCCCATGTCACAACACTGCTTGAAGAAGGTTTTCTAAGATATAATCCTTGTAATCCTTCAACTTGCAAGACCGAGGCAGGATGATGGTGAGCTTGACTAGCGTCAACTATATAGTAAAATCCTGTCTCAACAATAATAGAAGAAAAAGAGGAAAGAAGAGAGATGTAAAAATTAAGAGGAAAAGGCAGCCTCTCTTTAGCCATTCTTAATATTTTCATAATCACGAAACAAGCAGAAATTGCTAACATGAGATGAATCCCTGCCATGCTTGATAATACAGACAACAGGAGCCCGCCTGACCCTCCTGCCAATCACTGCTCATTATCCTCACAGCAGTCATTCCAAGCATCCTTCTTCAGTGGTGCACTGAACCAAGCCTGCTGTGATGCTGTCCACATTCTCTGGATCCTCTGCAACATGGCAAATAGGTATGAACTGTTAGCTGTGGCTCTGCCACTTCCCTTCTAAGCAAGTTACAAACATGTTCAGATTCAACATAAGATCACGGGAACTAAATGAGAGTGGACACATATAACATAAATGTGTAGTGATGAACCACCCAGCCTGACCTAATCAAGGTGGAATACTTGAGATACTTCACAGTCATGATGGCTGATCTTGGTTGTCAACCTGACTACATTTGGAATCAACTAAAACCCAAGCAGCTGGGCATGCCTATGAGAGATTTTCCTGACTGGATCATTTGAGGAGGGAAGACCTATCCTAAATGTAGGTCACACTTTCTGGAGGCACCTCACAAAAAAGGAGGGAGCTTTTTGCCTGCTTGCTCTCTCTCTCTCACTGACAAGTTCATCTACTCTGTTGCTGAGGGATTCCTTTGCTGGACCAGTATTAGAACCTACTTCTTTGGGATTCCAATGTGGACTGAAAACCAGCACCTCTCTAAGAATTCCTTAGGACTCCAGTAACAGACTGGGACTGCTGAGACATCCAGTGTCACGGACTGGACAACTACTCGATCCTTTGCCTTTCTAACCTGAGACAGCCATGGTTGGACTACTTGGACCACAGCCTATAATTCTAATAAATCACCCCCTACACACACACACACACACACACACACACACACACACACACACACACACACGATTCTCTTCATTTTGAGAACCCTAACTAATACAATGGCCTTTTCTTTCGTGTTAGGACTTGTAGCAACACTGGTGGTGAAGAGAGTGAGACTAACTCTGGGCACCACCTCTCTTAGTCTAAGCAAGAAAAAAAAATAGGTTGCAAGAAATGTAGTATTATTTAAAAGAATTTGATTTCTAAGGAGAAAATGCCAGATTATTATAAAGGCTTGATGTTTCTCATCAGCTTTCCATCTTTCTCATCACAGAATCCTCTTGTCTCTGCTCTATTCTTTTCTCTGTGTAGAACCTCCTTAAAGCTGAAGGTTCCCCCAGCACTGCTTCAGTTCAACAATCTGTCCCAGACTGACTAGCTTTTCTTGATTATAAATTCCCTTAGAGAATGATCCTGGGTACCTGTCTTGAGCTGGGTCTACACTGGGAGGTGGGATGCAAGGAGCACCACACAGCTGAAGACTGGAGGACAAAGGAATTCCAAGATTCACAACAGAACTAGGTGAAGGTGTGGCCAGAAGTGATGGAGAACTCAGGAGACAACACTTGCCTTGGTGTGTACATTAGCTTCCTGTTGTTGGGACAAAAGCATTTGAGACCAACAGTGTAAAAGGAGGACAGATTTAGCTGATGGTTCCAGAACATTTAGTTCATAGTTTCTTGGCCCTGTCACTCTGGGCTGACGCAGGGCTAAGAATGTGGCGAAGGTATGTGGTACAGCAAACTATTCATGTAATAGCTGCCAGGAAGTGAAACAGAGAGAAGGGGCTGGGCTCAATGTACTCTTTTAGGGCTTGCCCATACTAACATCACTTCCTTCCATTAGGATCCACCGCCTCAGGATTCTACCACTTGACATTAGTGCCACACACTGGTGACCAAACATTTAGCATACGACCTTTTAAGGATATTTCAGAGGCAAACCATAACAAAGTGCTGAGGTCCATCCTAAAGACAGCATTCTTGAGTCAACAGAGGCAGTGACTGCTTTCTGGGAACATATCTCTTTCTTTTTTTTGACAGACAACATCACCTGTTATAATTCACACCTCATGACCACCACTGAAATCCATCCTTTGTACCAGTAGCCTAACAAGTCCTCATGTACAGAATCTATTAAAATACTTTCTTCCAAGGTCACCAACAATTTGATGGAGAACTTAATTCTTTACTTAGCAAGTTGACTGTTCTCAAAACAAATGAACTCATGTCA